AAAAAAAAAAAAAAAAATTCCCAAACAGAGAAGAAGCCTCTACACAATGGCTCCGGCTAAGTAGATCAAATAGGAGGAGAACGAAATCACCCTAAAATACCCCAAACTCCCTCCTAAGATTTTCTCTTCTGCAGGCAACCAAAATACCCCAAACCCTTCCCTACATTTTCTGCCACGGTGGCGGATGCATTGCTGGAAAATGCTGCTGTGAGTTCGCAGCAGTCTCCCCACTGCCATTTGATGCCGGTGCGAATGACAAAGCTCACGACGTTGGGTGAACAATATCGCTGCCACAGGATTTCATCGAACAGAGGCCTACTAGCACCGCAACACGTTTCTTCGCTCAGAGATCCGGGTGGGAAGAGAGGTCTCTTTGCACGCACCAGTAGATTCATTGAAGAGGTTAGAGAGAGAGAAGATGAAGGGAAATTATTAGGGTTTGGTTAGGGTATAAAATGATGGGTTAAATATATAGAATAATTTAATTTTTATAATATAATTAATTTATCAAATTTCGAATTTTTGAAAGAAAAAAATCTCACTTGATTTTAGAATTGAGATATTCAAAAGTAAGGTAGGGTGTAATTTCCACTTTTTAAATGGAATGAGTGACCCAACTCAAAGAAGAAAAGAATTTTTTTGTTAAATTTTTTGGCTTTTAATTTTTTGAGGCCTCTTAGGATTTGAGGCACAAGGCAATGGCTTAGGTTGCCTCGAGTCAAGGTCGGCCCTGGTGGGGCCCCCGTATGGGACTCACCTCATAAAAAATTCAAACCCCCCACCTATTGTGTGTGTTTTAGAGGGGTTCTATGAAACCCCTCAAGTACACTAAGAATAATCCTTCTCTCTTCTATCTTCTGGCTTTAGTTTTGGGATTTTCCTTGTACGTTTTTTCATGGTTGCTTTTTGTAAAATTAGTCGAGACATTATAAAGTAATAAAATAGGCACAAAAGATGTTCTAATTGCTTTGTTAGATGCAACTACAAGCCGAACAGATTGATAGAGAAAAAAATGAATAATGTTATTTATTCCCACTGAGACTATACTCTCAATCTATGTAGTATTAGGTGATAGGCAAAATGAAAAGTAAAATTAAATGATTCATTTAATTTCAATTATCATTTAATGTCATATTAACGCTACATAAACTGAAATTGCTAAATAGCAATACTTAATAATTAATTCTTCAATCTACATTTAATTGCTTTTGACCTTGTCGGCTGTCACACTTGCGATAAGTTGCGGGTAATAAATGTGACTTGTGGGTGCTAATCCCGTAAATTACTGAGGTAGGTTAAAATTCTATCCCTTGCAATGTGTTTTGGGGCTCGCTTTAAAGCATGCCTACAAAGTCCATAGCAATACTGCTAGAAAAAAGAACCGAGCTACATTGCCAGGGGGGGAGTGACACCCCCCCTGACAGATTTCTCACATTGGGGGGGAGGGGGACTTTTTTTTTCATTTTTTATTTGCCCGGGCCCCACGTCGGTCCCACCCTCATTGTGAGGGTCGGTCATCCAAGTGGGCAGCCGTCA